TTTAATGTCAAACATTTAAATTAATCAAAAAATTATTAAGATTCGAGCTTCATTTAGTATAGTTTTTTAATTTTAATTTTTTATGGTAGTTAGTATCTATTACTATGTTTAAAAATCAAAATTTATTACAAAAAATTAAAGTATATTAAATTAAATATTTTTTTTGAACAAGGGAAAATTTGGGGGAAATGAGGAATAAAGGTTATTATTGCAGTTTGAACTCTAACCGAAATCAAAAGTTAGGCGTACCAAAACCAAGACAGTCAAAGCTGCGAATGCATATATTAAATTTAATTTAAATATAACATTATTTAATAAATATATAAAAAATAATAACAAAAAATGGGTCAGGCTATGATTAAAGGCCCTACCACTAGTAAAAAATGTGTCCCGTGTGTGGTCCTTAATATACTCTTTTTTTTTTTTAAGGTCAAGAAATTAATTTATTAATTGAGTAACTCATAAACATAACAAGAATTTAATAAACATAACTAGTGTCAACTGTTTAAAAAATGTTTGCCACACTTTGTAACGAAGCACCTAATTATGTATTGGCACCAATCAAGGAAGGAGTAAGGCCAAGCTTATGAATTTCCACTTATCCAAAAATAGGTAAATACCTATTTTTAATCATTTATCTTAATAAATTTGTAAATTTTAACCCCTTACCTTATATTATGATATTTTTAGTCCTTTAACTATTCTAATTGAAGAAAATAACTCTTATTTAATGTCATGTTAGCTGATTGTTAGTTTTGTAAATTGACTGTTAATTTTGTTAGTTGATTGTTAACATTCCATTATAGAAAACATAAAATTTAAATTCAATTTTATTTGTTAGTTCTATTAACGAAATGGTAATAGTCAGTTAATAGGATTAACAGTCAGTTAATAAGATTAACAGTCAGTTAATAGAATTAACAATTAATTAATAGAATTAACAATCAACTAACATAACTAACAAAACGTTATAACCTGGCATTAAGGGCGGGCTATTTTCTTTAATTTGTGTAAGTGAGGGGCTAAAAATATCATAATATAAGATAAAGAGTTAAAACCTACAAATTTATTAAGGTAAATGACTAATAATAGGTTTTTGCCTAAAAAATAGGAGTGACATTGTATCATCTTGAGCACACAATCTTTTGTCAACCTGCTTTCACCGAATATCGCAACATTCCTTACTAACCAAATCGACCAAACAATTACATACCAGACTACCCACCATCCCTTTTTGTTCCTTATCATCCACAAATGTTGAATGACAGCTTCCCTACAATTATTGTGCAAAACATGACGGATGCCCCACCATTCAAAGCATTTTGTCCATATTACGGAGGAAAAATCACACTGCATCATTAAGTGATTTGCATCTTCAATCTTATCATCACAAAACATGCACACCTTACATCCATAACATCTTTGATTACTTTTCTTCTCAATAGGTTATCTTTACTTAAGATCCTTTCTTGCCATAGCATCCAAGCAAAGGTGCAAACCTTAGTTGGCACCATATTGTTCCAGCATTTCTTAAGAATTGTTGCTCCGTCGTTTGTCTCACTAGATGATAGTAGCTTATAGGCTGATCTTCCAAAGTAGTGCCCATCTTTTTCATGAATCCAACACCAGCTAGCTGTCCTCTTTTGCCATCTGTGGCTAATTGAAACTTAGTATTTGTTGTAGGTGCTCCACTTGACTTTCCTCCCATGTGTGTAGTTCCCTTCCCTAGAGTAAATTCCAACTCCATAAGTTTCCTATCCAATGGCCCATTTGTTGTACCAAGCTCCATTTATCTGTACTTAAAGAAAAATGTTTTGGGAACAAGTCCCTTAAACTGTTATCATCAATCCACTTATCAAACCAAAATGATATATTTTTGCCCTCACCTAACTTGATTTAAACCCTTTCATTAAGCTAGCTCACTTTCCCATCTCACTTTCCCATCTAGTGTCCAATTTATACTACCGATATCTCTCCATCTCTCCACCATCATGATCCACCCCCAACGGTCCTTGAGATAATATTCCTTCTAAAACAAAATATAAGTTTTTTTACATTTTTTTCCTAAGTATATTTAGATAATGTTATTTTATAATATATGGTAATACTAAAATATTATATTTTTTTTCTCAAGACAATATTTTGTTGGGTAATTTTATTTAATAAAAAAGATTTTACTTATCTTTTATATAACCTATCACATTAAAAAAACTTAGTTATTATTATATATAAATACGTCATAAATACACTAAATCAGACTATTTATTTTAATTTTTGGTAATAATAACTAGTAATAATCACAATAATTAATAAAATAATTAACATTTATTAATTTTATTATTCGTAAAGCAATAACTACATTTTTTTAAAAAAAAATTTATGAGAATAACCACTGCCTTTAAAAGCCTTGAAAAGTCTGTAGAAGACAAGGTTTAGTACGAGGGTACAGTTTGGTGTCAGAGATTGTCAACTTCTTTCTTAAATCTTGTAAGTTATAACCATCATTGCCTGCCCGTAAGAGAGCCCCATCTACCATTTATACCACTCCTACTTAACACTTGACAGAGCCCGGAAAGGCAAAACCGGACCC